TAGTTATCTGCTTTGCTTGCGTTCTCGAAGACTGCGTGCCCGCCATTTTCCAGTCAAGAATGCTGTGTTGCGCTGATGGCTGCACCATCGTGACCAAGGTGTACCGTGTATGTAGCGAAAATGCAAGGTTAGTGTGATAGATTCGTGATTATGATGTGTGATAAAAATACACCCCAAATAAACCTTTTTGTTAACAGAGTCACAACTCCCGGTGGCAAGGACACTATTTTGTCGCATCGCTACCCTTTTCGGCCCACTGGCTGCCGACGGCAGTAAACTGACGTTGGCAAAAAAGCGAGATCGCAGCAACAGTATAACGAAGAATTGATTTTAGGAGACGTTGCTGCGCGACCGCATACGACAGATTTTTAAAGGCGCTGTCGGGAGCGCAGTCAAACTGCGCATTAATCCGTTTGTCTACTTACGTGCACCACTGTTAGCAACAAAGAACTAAATATGATGACGTCATTATAACGTTACCGAAAGTACATGGCTTTTTCTATGCTTGCCATTGCGCAGAAAAACACTTCAGCTCAATTGCATGACCTATCCGCTACCATGAAATCAATCCAGAACTATGAAGAGAGTATACATGCTGAAGTAGCAGCACAACTGACGGACGACTCGTCAGGCTTCCACGTGTGCGCGTGCGTTCGCACGACGATCCATTATCAAAAACTAGTGAGGCTATACATGAAACGCGTTACCATAGCATATCAAGCTGAGTGCGCCCCTAGCTAGTTGCAGGCAGTGCACTACCTGCTAAGCTCACTGTATCAGCGCCACACCCTGTAATTTACACGCGTGCATATGCCTTTGGGTAGAGATATTTTGTTTCTTCGTGCTTGCTCAGCACGGGACTGTGCATAGTGTGAAGACTATTTTGTCGAGCAAGTGCGGCGGTGGCAGGTTGCCTTCGTTTTCACGAGCAGTACGCAAGGGCGCAGCAGCGGACGGCACGGTCGGTATGCTTACTAAATAGCGCTAAACCGCAATGCCACACATATTGTTGTGCAGGCAGTATATAAACATATTTGCACAGCGCAAGACTACGAGCAGTTACGACGTAGTTACAGAACAACAGACAAGGACAGAAAGAGCACTGACTTGAACTGAAATTCTATTGGCGAAAACGCTGGAAATATATACTCATGACAGAACATCACCACGCAATCGCACATCTTATTGCATCACAGCAAAACAATCATCATCTCATTATATGTTTACAACGCCCCAGCTCAACACAGTGCAAATATGTTGATTCCCAATCACCAACTAGCCCAAGCTTCTGTCTTATCAGGCAGTATATGATTTAGATTGACTGAGATGTTTATTGTTGGTAGGTTTGTCGCAATGATGTGCTGCCGCATTCGTCAGGGGGCTGTCATCACACTCCCGTGAATTCCATGCAGGCATCACCGCACTAGCCTTGAAGTCGCAGTAATCACTGCATGATCTACTGAGGCTCTTATCGCAAATGTGCAAAATTGTAAGTTCTTCACTGCGACATATGCGAATGTATATTCGTGAACATAGAATATTCGAGGTATATTCTAGTTAGTAATAATATTGAAAATTTTTTCTAATATGTGGTTATCAAAACAAATAAGAATAAAGTTAAACCCCTTAATAAGAGGCATGCTCCGGGCAGCAATTCTTGTCTTTTATGTGAGATTTCTCTTACAAGCAGGGTACCTTGTATGCATTTTCTTATCAACTTGTATTTTACTGTAGGCACACTGGTGTCTCTTATACATATTTGTCTTTTATATCAGTGTCTCTTGTAAAGGGGTTCAAATGCAATATTCGCACACCCGTAGTATTTACTACGCACGAAAAATGAAGCGCACTTTGTAAAGTACGCTGGGCACTATTGGGTTAATGCATCTACTGCTGTTGCGACATAAGATTTAACCAGTTGTGAGTCTTCCCCAATGGGTCCTTTTTTTGTATTACAGTGACATCTTGGTAGAGCGAACTCCACATTAACGAACTTTTCAGATTAACAAACTTTTAAAAAATCCCGTACCGACTGCTAAAATTTTCAATGTAAAACTATTTCGCTACTACTTACTTCAGAATACCGATTTTTTCAGAATAACGAGCATTAATTTATTTACGTGTTATATCAGAGCGGTACGCAAGCAGACGACAAAGCAAACGGACGCCTTGCTTCTCAGAAGTGTGGCAGTTTGGGCTAGTTGGTATGACATGACGATAGTTATAGCGCGAGAACAGAACGACGACAAAGAGCGCTCATGTCCTCCTTGTCTTCAAAATTTGTGCTGCATGCGTAAAAAAAAAACTGACTTCTTCAAAGTAAACGTGCATTTTCTGGTGTTCACTTGTGCATTAGTATTTTTCTCGTTAAAAATGAGTTAAAGGACCCACTGTTGTAAAGGTAAGTCGTTTTGGTCAATGGAAAATAAGTATATGGTTAATTTTTGGGTTTTCACTATGACGACCTTTCAAAAGAACGAACGAATCGCCGCAGCCCCCTGAAGTTCATTATACCGAGATTTCACTGTATATCCTGCTGCGCAGTTTCTTCATAAGCTGATTCCATACCAAGTTGCCCAGCTTTCAACGCTGGCTACCTACACTGCATCATGATGACCTCACACTTCATCTTCGGCCTGCTGCATTTGAGGTTCGGAGCCCCCTCATCTATTCTGTCTATCCTGAAATGCCGATAGGTGCAGCTCACATTCTTTCCTGACACCACACCACGACTCCTCTGATCAACAATGCAGGAGTGCGGCAATGGGGTAAATACAGTCGCCGACCGATTTTTCGGACCTGGCGGGGACCGAAAAAAAGTACGAAAAATCGAACAGTCCGAAAAATTCGTTTTCGCCAAAAATTTGAAGTTTATTGCATCAGGCAGGTTTAAAAAAGTCCTTGATGCTGCCTTGCCTCAAACTACGCTTTAAGGCAATTTGGTTTGCCCGTATTTGCGCCAAGGTGACATCGTCGCCGTAAACGCTCGACAAAATTGTCACCGCATTGGCGATCTCCGCCGCCGACCGCCATCCGGCGTCGACCGTCATCCGACGACATCTAGCTGCGAACGTCCACTCTCTATTAGCTTGATTATGGCAGCTTTCTTCTCCATCGTCAGGGTCGTATACTTCCCACGCTTCTTCACACCACCTGGCTCCCGCGATGGCACAGATAGCGGAGCCATGGCACCGAGAACACAAAATTCGATGCCGCAGATAGCCGCTGCGAACGCAACACGTGCTGCGCGACACAACACGTGCAGAATGGCGACTGAAAAAAGCTGCAACGACAATAAAAGAATCCTTCTTTCGCCTCCTCCCCGTGCGATGTGATGACGATAGTGCTGACCGAAGACGAAAAAACGGCATCCATCACCGCGTCTTTTAAAAAGCAAACACGGCCTCCGAAACTTAAAATATGGCGTGCGCATTCTAATCTCGGAGGCAGGAAAGGCATTTGAAGACCAAGCTCAGCCAAGCCGACGGAAAATCCAACATGGCGGCGTTCACAATGGCTTGTGGCGTGGCACAAAACGAGCGATTTAGTCCGAAAAATCGAACTTTCAGGGGCAAATTCGCCCGAAAAATCGGTCGAAACAATGCATTAGCTCTATGGGATCCCTGACGGTGCATTTATAAAGTCCGGAATATCCAACAAGTCTGAATTTTTGGAGTCCGGAAAATCGGTCGGCGACTGTATCTCACTCGGCTGATGCAGGCACTTAACAAATAGGGTTCAAGGAAACTATTCCTAGTGTATCCACCTAGTCGATATATCCACTTCGGTGAAAAGCATTCAATTACTTGAAAAAGCACTGAGCCATGACATCATGGCACTCTTGAGCATGTTGACACGCTGAACCCACCAGCACATTCTCAGTGTAGAGAGAAAGAAAGTGGACGAAATTAACACTTCAACAAACTTGACAAGTCTGAAATTGCCCATGAGTAAGTTTAGATGTTTGAGAATGATGCAGGGAATGTATAGCAAGCTTCCAGATGCATCAGACAGCTGGCCATCTTCAAACCAATTCGAGGGCTAACATAATCAGAGTTCATGCATCATCTCCTCTGGGGGCAGCTTTTGTTGTAGTGAAACAGATTCCGTCTTTCTCATTTGGGCCGACAGTCCTGAAAGCTTTGCGACATTCAAATGACGTTACCGAAAAACTGGAAACAGAGAACACGCTGCTCGCCCAGCTCCAGCCAATCAGTGGAGATCAAAGATGCATAGAGAATTGCGCCCCAAAAGTTTCATGTTTCATCAGTGTGTGGCAACCACTGGGCACAAACCTACGCAGCCTCCGTCTCGTCACTGGTTAGCCCGGCGTGACGAGGCCACTTGCTGCAACACGCTTGCAATAAGGAACAGTGCCACTGCAGCTTCACCGGAGTCTTCCGTCGCCACTGGTGGCTATAAAATTCCAGCTGCCAAGCTCGGTATCATCACTGCCACAATACATCTCACGAGCGTAGTGTCAGTATGCTCGATCTGATGCTTTCCCTCAAGATCGAATAAACAGTGGTGTTGTCATGTTGGAATCCATCCTCCGTCGATCCCGCATCCCACAAGTGTGAACACTGAACCCATCTGCAATGTTCGGTGCTTCCGTGGTACCTTAGGACACTAGTTTGGCACATACATCATTGATAGTTACTCTCTGCCCATATCAGAGTGATGGCACAATATCTTTTTTCACTATTTCCTGTGGTCATTGTTTACACACAGACTGTTGTGACTTCAGGATAGCATTTTTTTAACAGATTCCTGCTTTAGAGATACACAGAAGCACTTGCTCTCAGTTCATGACTAGTGTTGACCAAAAAAACTACAGTCACTAAGCACAAAACATTGAAAAGAGGAGAGGGATTCGCTCCTCTGCACTAAGTGACCTTAGTTTTTTCTTCGGTCAATGCAACTTTAGAAATACAGCAAATGATGAGCAGCACAGTACTGCAATGAAAGGTCAACTGAGACAAACTAAACAATGGCCCTACCTGTACAGCCTGTTCCAGATGTTCTTGGGCACACAAAATTCCTCGTCCACATCAACGGCGCTCTCGGAGTCACTGTCCTCATCCTCCATGATCCTCCTGTGCTTCTCCAGAAGCTTCAGCCGCCGCTGTTCCCTGATGCAGAAGAAGCCTTCCTGAATGCCCACTCCAGATATTTAATACTATAACAGACTCCAGAGAAAAAGCTACAATGACTTACAGAAGCAACAGAAGCACTTCGATTCTCACAATATAAATTGTAAACAAGCATTCTCACGTATTAATAACAGACGAAAATTGTTTGATATTTACACTAACTACTTTTGGGAGGGATAAATGGCCGCTTTCGTGATCTACTGAGCGCGAGAAGGAGCGTTTGCAGTTTCTTTACTAGATGACACTACCATCTTTGTACCGTATCAACATTTGAGCACAGTCAATTGCTTGCTTGAGCGTTGTGTAAATTGTAGTGCTTCATCGTCCATGTTTTTAGTCCCCATGATCAGCCACATCTACAATTATGACGAAACAGAGAGCCGTAAAAACAAAAATGCCAGCGGTGCATGCGGCAGCAAGTGCAACTGAGAAAGCAGAGTATCGTTCTATCATAGCACCCCCGTGCGTTTTAGTTAGAGCGCTGCTAATATCAAAATTTGGGGTGTAAAGCGAAATCGAATATTCAAGCACGAGTGCGAATCGAATGGAAGATGTCACAGGGATGCAGGCACAAAACAGAGCGTTTACTATCGGTACCAAAGGCCAAAAGCACGAACACCAGAGCACACACCCACAGAAATACTTCATTATTCTCCTCACAGGCTGGCCACTATGGTTGCCAGCCTACCTTGCGTCAATTCCCCCCTTTCAAAAGCAACTGTCCCGGTCGATTGACTAAGATGCTAGAGATGACCATAAAAAAATATGGTCACTTCAACGAAAAAAAAACATAACACCGCGCTATTGTGGATAATAAGAAAAAAGTTCGAAGTGTTCATAACTCGCGGGCGTAGTACGGTTTCATCCGTACTACATGGACTACTTCTGGACATGGACGTCTTCGGTTTAAACTGGTACTGGAGCTTTGAGGAACCACCTCGTAATTCACGTCACTGAGGCAGCGCACAACTTCGTAAGGGCCAAAGTAGCATCGCAATAGCTTCTCCGAAAGCCTATGATGTCGAGCTGGTGTCCACACCCACACATAGTCATCTGGTTGATCGTGGACGTTCCTTCGGCCTCGTTTGTAACGGCGAGCCTCGGTATCTTGCTGGTGCGAATGGAATGCGGAGCATAGCATCTAACGGTGTTGTGACGCAACGGCCATAAACAAGCTCGAATGGTGGCACGTCTCTGGTCTCTTGCACAGCGGTGTTACAAGCAAACGTGACGTACGGCAAAATTTGATCCCACGTTTTTTGCTCTACATCAACATACATGAATAGCATGTCGGCCAGTGTGTTGTTTAACCGCTCTGTCAAGCCGTTGGTTTGGGGATGATAAGCTGTTGTTATGCGGTGGTTGGTGTGCGCCAGCTTGGCGACTTGGTGCAATAACTCTATTGTAAATGCTGCTCCGTGATCGATTATGAGAACAGCAGGTGCACCATGACTCAAAACAATGTTACAGCAGGTTGCGAGAGCTCATCAGAGCTCTCATTAGAGAGGAGCTACAAAAGATGCAGGTGACTGCTTCACCTGCAGAGCAGCTCTCTGGTGCAGAGATGGTACGGGCCGAGCTACGGCAGCAAGCCGCTCCCACTCCCCCAACAGTCCGAGACGCCCCAACCGAGGCACTGCGTAGAAATGAGCTACGCGGAAGCAGTGCCACGTCCTCCATCGTGCAGTTCACCCAGTGTGTTTTACCCCAATGGGTGACGCGCTCAGCAAATGGAGGTAGGCTTCTGTCCTTGCAGCCCGCTGTTCATCGCCTAAGCACGACCGAGGAAGAGTGACATCTGGCGTACACCAGACCACAGGCCCCTTTGTTCCCACTGTGGGAAAGCCAAACACGTCTGCCGAACATATCCATAACGCCATGTGGGTCTACGTTGATTTTCGCGCCTGAAGCCCCTCGTCCACGACCTGGCGAGCGATCGCTGGAAATAGAGAGTTTCATCTCGAATCGTCGCAGTATCGAACATCAGTCGCACGAGCCCCGCTTGTCGTCGTCTACTTGCTACAGGTCCCCGAGCCCAGCCTATTCACACACCGCTCCGAGATGCCGTTCACCCAGTCCTGCAAGTCGGGAAAACTGAGTTCAGCGACCTCCGAAAATGAGGCCGCTGACACTGACTCTACAGAATATCCTCCACTACAACGACAGCGACGGCAGCAAAAAGATGTACAGACGCAGTCAGACATGGTACGAAGAGTGGTGACATCAAACATTGCAATAACCGTGGACGACGAAGAAGTAATGGCCCTAATTGACACTGGAGCAGACACTTCCGTTATGAGCGTGGGTCTTGCCTGCAGGCTGAAGAAGGCATTTCTGAACAACGAGTAGTAAGGGAGAACTTTCAGAGAACTCCCGTACTTGAAAATATAATAACAGAGGAACTTCAATTATTAGTCTCCTAGTTTCACAACGACACGCATTTTACGACGAATCAGTTTGGTCCCGGTTAACTGCCCTTAGAAATAATATATTGTTACGGGGAAGATTTATTCACCGAGAGCTGGTCTTGCTAACGGCTTAAAGAGCGCACAGTCATGCAGGCCAATGGGAGAAGCTCTAGAGTTCAACCCACTACAACCACGTTATCGTCTTCTTCATTTGGGTGCCAATTCAGCTGTGTCTAGGTGACAGTTTCATACACGTATCATCACCCCGGCCCGTAAGGCACCGTCTCGGTGCCTGTTAAATGAGCGAGTCGGCGTTGTAGGGCTTGAGACGAGAAACGTGGACTACTTCCGTTCTGGGTGCAGCAGCTGATGAGTTTGTGGTAGCGGAAATCTCGTAGGTCACAGGTGTGACCTGACGAATGACTCGGTAGGGCCCGGCGTATCGCGATAGTAGTTTCTCGCTGAGGCCAACACGTCGAGACGGGAGCCACAAGAGAACAAGAGATCCCGCAGAAAAAACGGCATCTCTATGTCGACGGTCATAAAGGGACTTCTGTGCTGTCTGCGACGACGATAACCGAGCGCGCGCTACCGCGCGTGCCGTGAGGGCCCGGGAGATCGCATCCTGAGCGTACGAAGTGGAGGATGGGTGGTCTGATGAAAGCAGTGTGTCGAAGGGCAGTAAGGGATGACGTCCGAAGAGTAGATAAAAAGGGGAGTAGCCCGCTGTTTCATGACGCGACGAGTTATAGGCGAAGGTTACGAACGGAAGAGCTATGTCCCAATCAGTGTGGTCGGTAGATACGTACATGGAAAGCATGTCCGTCAATGTGCGGTTTAGGCGCTCCGTAAGGCCGTTAGTCTGAGGGTGGTAAGATGTGGTGAAGTTGTGACGGGTAGCACAAGATCGGAGTAGGTCATCAACCACACGGGATAAAAAGTAGCGACCACGGTCTGTGAGCAGGTGAGTCGGAGCGCCATGCTGGAGAATAATGTCGTACAGCAGGAAGTCGGCAACGTCGGTTGCGCAGCTGGTTGGTAGCGCTCGAGTGATTGCATACCGAGTGGCATAGTCTGTGGCCACTGCAATCCATTTATTTCCAGTTGTAGAAGTAGGAAAGGGACCTAGCAAGTCCAACCCCACTCGATAAAATGGCTCGGCTGGAACTTCAATAGGTTGAAGAAGACCGGCAGGGGGAGTCATAGGCTTCTTTCGGCGCTGGCAGAGGTCACAAGATGTGACGTAACGGCGAACAGAGCAGTACAGACCCTTCCAGAATACTCGTCGTCGAATGCGGTCGTAAGTTCTGGAGACTCCTAGATGTCCAGAAGTTGGAGCGTCGTGGAATTGTCGCAGAACATCCTTTCGCAGGTGATGTGGTACGACGAGTAAAAGTTCCGCGCCGTCGGGGTGTAAGTTGCGGCGGTACAAAATGTTGTCTTGAAGCAGGTATCTGCTAAGAGAAGGGTCAGCATGACGCGATTGAAGGCAGTCAATGATGGTGAGCAACGATGGATCTCGGCGCTGTTCGTCAGCCACGTTCAAAAAGTCAGTGATGGCTAAAACGCAGGCATCGGATTCCAAATCAGTGGAGCTAGGTGGATCAACGGGGTGCCGGGATAAGCAGTCAGCATCGCTGTGCAGCTTTCCAGATTTGTAAACAACCGAGAACGTGTACTCCTGTAATCGAAGAGCCCATCGGCCGAGTCTTCCTGTAGGGTCTTTAAGCGTCGACAGCCAGCAAAGCGCATGATGGTCTGTGATGACTGCGAACGGACGTCCGTATAAGTACGGACGGAATTTCGCGATAGCCCAAACGAGGGCTAAGCATTCCCGCTCAGTTATAGAATAATTTTGTTCCGCTTGCGACAAAAGGCGGCTAGCGTAGGCTATCACACGGTTGGTGCCATTCTGTATCTGAGCGAGTATAGCACCAATGCCATGGCCGCTTGCATCGGTGCGAAGCTCTGTTCGAGCCGTTGGATCAAAATGAGCCAACACAGGTGGTGAGGTGAGGGCGGTAATTAGCGACGCGAAGGAATGTTCTTGGTCCCTTCCCCAAGAGAAGGCCACATTCTTTTTGAGGAGATCCGTGAGGGGCCTAGCAATATCCGCGAAGTTGAAGACAAAGCGGCGGAAGTATGAGCAGAGCCCAATAAAACTGCGAACTTCTTGTGTGGAACGCGGAACCGGGAATTCTCGGACTGCACGGACTTTGTCAGGGTCGGGTTGAACACCAGTGGCGTCAACAAGGTGGCCGAGTAGTTTAATCTGCCGACGTCCAAATGAACATTTCGACGAATTCAGTTGGAGACCAGCGCAACGAAAAACGTCAAGAATTGCCGAGAGACGAGACAGGTGGCTTTCGAAGGAGGGCGAGAAAACTATTACATCATCCAGATAGCAAAGGCAGGTCGACCATGTGAAACCGCGAAGAAGAGAGTCCATCATACGTTCAAACGTTGCCGGGGCATTGCACAACCCAAAAGGCATGACCTTGAATTGGTAAAGGCCGTCGGGTGTGATGAATGCTGTCTTCTCGCGGTCGCGGTCGTCGACCGAAATTTGCC